TAGCTTGGTGTGGTCATTGCACAAGGGAAAAAACCTATAAATATCACCTTTATAAATTATAATGACATCTAGGTAAAATTTGTTTGTGAGTGAATATGGGGACAGAAAAATAAAGTTGTATGTGATGAGGAGAGTGAGAGAAAGAAATGACAAGTAAAAAGGAAAGAAAACATTTGTTGCAAATTATTTGCAGTATCCATTTATGGTATATGTTGCAAATAAATTGAAACAGAGGTTGTGTGTGTTTTCTGTACTGGTCCCTGAAGCAATTATACCTATGTCTTGCTTACATTTGAGTTCTGCCCACAACATTTACTTTCAAATAATTTCTTGCTCAAACAATAACCTTCTCTATATGCTCTGTTTTGATGCCACACACTAACCAGCTACTCCATATTATGCAGGTTCCTTTCTTCTCGCAGATGGATGACCAGCTACTCGACGCAATCTGTGAACGTCTTGTATCTTCATTATGTACAGAGGGCACATATATTGTTCGAGAGGGTGATCCTGTGACAGAGATGCTTTTCATCATTCGAGGTAGATTGGAGAGTTCCACCACAAATGGAGGTCGAACTGGATTTTTTAACTCGATTATTTTGAAACCTGGAGACTTTTGTGGTGAAGAATTGCTTGGTTGGGCTCTTCATCCAAAATCCTCTCTTAATCTTCCTTCTTCAACCAGAACTGTGAGAGCCTTTGTTGAAGTGGAAGCCTTTGCCCTTAGAGCAGAAGATCTGAAGTTTGTAGCCAATCAATTTAGGCGCCTTCACAGCAAGAAACTCCAGCATACATTTCGGTTTTACTCTCACCATTGGAGGACCTGGGCTGCCTGTTTTATACAAGCTGCTTGGCGGCGGTACAAGAGAAGGAGGACAGCAAAAGGTCTTTCGTCCTTGGATTCTTTTGCGTCTGAGAGAGATGATGACGATACTAGAGAGGACGAATCGTGTGCAACTCCTCGGGCTGTATCAAGCCTAAAAGTGACATTTTTGGCTTCAAAATTTGCAGCAAACACCAGGAGAGGTGCTCAGAAGATTAAGCTGCAGAAACCGGAAGAGCCTGATTTTTCTGCTCCTGATGATGATTAAGCACATACTATATATCTGTATAGAAAATCTTATAAACTTGTGTTCAAATGCTGAATGGCGAAAAGAAGCCATGAGAGCAGAAGCCAATGTTAAGCCCTACACAAAATTGCTGGATATTTCTCTTGGTCAGCCATCATCTGCATTTTTTTGCATCTGAATTACCTGCTGGTGCTCATAGGAGAGAGTTGTTCGTGAATTGCAATGTGCAACAAAGTGAAGATTTGGACAAACAGTTCATTAAATTTACTTGCAGGAATTATGTACTGGGTTGCAATGTAGAACTTGATAAAATGAAATTGAATATTTTGAACCCGGGATTGTTCAATGTCTGACTGCCTGTACTTGTCACTGGAGTATGAAAACCATATATAGATGTACTGTACACTAATACCACGACGATATATATAGCATATCCCGGTTATTTTCTCTTTGTATCTTTTACTCGTAATAGTCTGCATACACAACAATTGGTTGTATTCCTGGATTTTCTTTCCTTATCAGTCTATCAACTGTATATATCTTGTTGCATCTTCCTTTTCTCTTCCTAAAATTTCTTGAGTGGCTTGGTGTCACGGTCCGGGAGTTTGGACCCCGAAACGTGCGGCGCGCTCTAGCCTTTTGGCGGCAAGAACGCTAGCCTTGAGCGGAAGAGGGGCTTGTGAGCACAAAGCAACACAAGCGGGCAATAGAATCTCAGGAGCACTCACGTCTATCTGGGCGACGGAGTGCGGGTGGTCGGGGCTTGTGACGGCCGATACTTCAAAGCGGGCACAAGCGGGTCCGAACCACGAGTCCTTAGCGCATCAAGTTGGGTTGGAGGGGAGTTAATATGCAAGTAAGACACAATATCTATAAAGGTCTAACAACAAACAAGCATAAAAGCAAGGCAACACTTGGTAGAAGGCTTTAAGATTTCATTAATCATTCGCCCTCTGAAGAGCTTTAAATGACATACAAGGAGAATCCCTAGTGAACACTGATCTGACAGTAACACAATAATGGGACCTCAAGCTAAGAAAACATAACTTAAACTCTAGGAAAGCACTTAAATGGAATCTAATACATCAAAAGGAGTTGGATTCTAACATCCTCCCCCACTTAAGCTGTCGACGACCTCGTCGACTTACAAAAGTTACAATCAAAATTAGAAAACCCTAAACTATCTCAAGTTTCGGATGCGCCGTTGGTGCGGCTATCTTCTGGAATCTTATCTGACTCTTGAGCTGGATCTTCTTTGTTGACGAGGAGCTTGTCTCTGGAGTCGCTCGGCTCGAACATCTTGTTGAGAGTTTCATCTCTAAATTTCCTCCTTGGAGTGGAATCTGTTGAATTAAGGGGGACAGCTGCTTCCACCATCATCTGTTGGGGAGCTGCTTCCTTGAGACTGTGGTGGAGAGCTTCAAGTTGTGGCTGGTGCCTCTTGGGTGACCATTTTCTTTGTAATCCCTTGCACGCGCCCTGCGTTGTTTGCTCAACCACTGTTTTTCCTCCCTCTTGGGAGGTTCTTCTTTGGTGTCTCTTTGGTGTCTCTGGGCTCGTCGCTCTTTGCTTCGAACCTTGTGACTGATTCTGGTTTTGGCGGGTGTGTATCTGGGATGTTGCCAACTCCATGGGCTTCATCTCCCGCTTCTCTGGGTTTCTGGTGCGAGCTTGTTTCTTCGATGTTGCCTTCTTCTCAGGCTCCATCACTCGCATTGCCGAAAGATATCGGACTTCTGGTTCTTCTTGAGGTGCTATCATTCTCATAGCACTCAGGCGTCGTATGGAACCCATCCTATATGTGGGCTCCTCATCGCTGCTAGTCTCTTTTGTGGCCTCCTGAACGGACATGGATGACAATCTCTTTTGGATCTTGTCAAGTTCTTCTTTATGCTCGCAATCCCACCATTTGTGTGGACCTCGACAAAGTATGCAGTTTATTGCCCTTGTGTTTGCCGAGGATGCGCCGGCCTTCGAGTTTCCTGAGTTGTGGGAGGGGGTAGATGTTTGTCTCTGGGCATCACCTCCTCCACTTCTTCTATGATATGTATTAATGGTGTTGGACGATACTCGTGAGCAGTTCTCTATACCCTTTGGAGAGCTTGGAGACGGACTGTTAGAGCGTGTTGACGTCCCACTTGAATCCTTCTCGGATTGACGACCCTTCCCGACTGAGTAGTCCATCAATCTCTCAACAGCACACATAGCAGCAGCGAGGGTATCAATATTCTGCCTCAAAATCTCTCGCTGCGCCCATTCCTTTAGCCCGTTGACAAAGTTGAACACACGATCTTTCTCATTCATGTCTGTGATGTCCAACATTATCGCCGAGTATTCCTTAACATAGTTGCGAAGAGAACCCTTCTGGCGGCACTCTTGCAACTTCATCCGTGCAACAAACGCTGTGTTGACGGGGTAGAATTGTTCTTTGAGTTCCTCTTTGAACTCCGCCCATGTATCAGTCTTGATCCTTCCTGCTTCGATGTCTGCGTGCTTGGTGCGCCACCACAACTTAGCATCTTCGGACAAGTACATGATGGCAGTATCCACCTTCTGATCGTCACTTAGTTGACATATTCGGAAGTATTGCTCCATGTCGAAGAGGAAGTTATCAACTTCTTTCGCATCTCTAGCGCCACTGTAGTCGCGAGGTTTGGGCGGCTTTATCTTCGCCGCACCAACACCCAGTGCGTCTCTGCCCACAGCGCGCGTTAAGGTAGCACATTTCTCAAGTGCTTCGTCGGCTTTTCCTTGAACAAATTGCAATTGTTCGCGGAGGGCATCTCTGTCAGCCATCAATTTCACAATTTGCTCGGCTTGCTCGTGTACAATGACTTGGAGCTCGGCCCATTTGTCCGCCTTCTCCTCGAGCCAAGCGAGCCTTTCTTCTACGAATTCCATCTTCGTGTAGCCCTCCTTGGTGCCTACACGGGTTGCTTGCGACGAGGTTTGAGCCTCGGCTCTGATACCAACTGTCACGGTCCGGGAGTTTGGACCCCGAAACGTGCGGCGCGCTCTAGCCTTTTGGCGGCAAGAACGCTTTGAGCGGAAGAGGGGCTTGTGAGCACAAAGCAACACAAGCGGGCAATAGAATCTCAGGAGCACTCACGTCTATCTGGGCGACGGAGTGCGGGTGGTCGGGGCTTGTGACGGCCGATACTTCAAAGCGGACACAAGCGGGTCCGAACCACGAGTCCTTAGCGCATCAAGTTGGGTTGGAGGGGAGCTAATATGCAAGTAAGACACAATATCTATAAAGGTCTAACAACAAACAAGCATAAAAGCAAGGCAACACTTGGTAGAAAGCTTTAAGATTTCATTAATCATTCGCCCTCTGAAGAGCTTTAAATGACATACAAGAAGAATCCCTAGTGAACACTGATCTGACAGTAACACAATAATGTGACCTCAAGCTAAGAAAACATAACTTAAACTCTAGGAAAGCACTTAAATGGAATCTAATACATCAAAAGGAGTTGGATTCTAACACTTGGTCAGTATTAAGTTTGATCTTTCCAGTTCAACTTGGCATAAAGTAGTACTCGTAGTAGTGTTTGATATCAATCTTCAGACTATAGAGTAGTTGTAGTAGTAGTCCAAAAAAATACTACTAATTCGTATGTACTTGGAAGTTGTTTTGTTTTCTAAGATGTACTCCATAACTCATTTTCCCTTAATATGAAGGAGAAAGTACAAACTTTATCATCTTGATAAACATTACAAAGTAGTTTGTCGTTTATCAATTGGCAAATTTTTCATTATACATGGGTAAAATAGTTGACACCATTAGCAATTGGATATTAATATCGCTACTTGTGTTAGCGGTTTTACTTTACAATATTACCATTTTACTCCATTAAACATACCTATATTTACGTGATATAACCCGAGGCTCCCTCAGATATAAAATGCACCCAAAAATACCATAAGGATAAAGAGCAAAAAAAAAAAAAAAAATGAGGGTTGGTCCCTCATAAAACCAGAAGTTAGCTGAGGAAGAGCAAGAGAGGAGAAAGAGAAACAAACAAGTAAGAACTAAGAAGTTCATCTGTGATAATGTTGGCAACTTTTACAGACGCAGCAGCTACTGCTTCTACTTCTTCTATCTTCTCATTTTCTCTCTCCTCCCCTCTTAAATTCCATCATAAACCCAGAATTCATGGTTGTAAGCCTACCTTTAGCCTCCGCACCAAACCCACCTCTTGGATAACAGCTGCTTCTCTCTCCACCACTACCACTTCCAGGTAATTTTTTTTTTCTTTCCATTTTCTGTAAATATAGTTATATACGGAGTATGAACTAATTCTTGCTGAATTTAGTATTTTGGCAATTGGGTGTTTGTAATATTGTTATGTTCTTGCGGAAATCGACAATTTGGTGATTGGGTGCATATGATTTGGTTCTATGAAACATTGGGGTTAGTGGGTTCCTTTAATTTTTGTTGGAATTGATGCATTTTAGCTGTTTTAATGTTCTCTGCGACAAGTTTGAGGAGGTGGGTGCCTCTAATTTATTGAGTGTTAATTACAGAAGTTGAACCTTGCTTCATTTCAGATTAGTATATGTAGTAAATTTCTGTATGCTAAGTTGGAGAGAGCAATTACCATTGTACATCCGGGTGTTTTGTACAACCAAGGCTGTATTTTTTGGCTTATTCTCAATTGAGGGAGCCCTATATGTTGTGTATATGGTACATCCGGTTGTATAATGGACATCCTGAACTGTGTTAGATGCTTAATTTTGTTAATTGGAACTTTCAAGCTATTGGGTTTCTATTGATTTCTTGAAGAATTGTTGCAGTTTTATGCTCTCTGTGACATTTGAGGAAGTGGGATACCTTTGATCTTTGAGTGTTCATTAGTCAAGGTTAACTTGCAATAAATCTGAATTATAGCATTTTTTGACTTGAAAATGGTTGGTTTTTCATTGCAGTTGTGAAAGCTCAGTGTTTGATCCATTAGGTATTGAGCAAGATAAGTCATGGGATGTAGCTAGTACCTGGGATGGTGTTCTGAAGTTTGTTTCGCAGACTTTTGAGAGTAGTAGTACACGAAAAGACAGAGCATCATCAGGTCGTGGAGTTGCAGGTGTGTTTTTTGACAGGCTTTGTTCTTATAATGTTTTATAATTTTTTCTGTGGTTGTTGTCTGAGTGAGTCTTTTTAATTTTGGTAGTGTTAATTGACAGCTGCAATTGAAGATAGTTCCATTGATTTTGGGGACTTCTTTAAAGGTCCATTACCTGGGAAATTTCTGAAACTTTTAGGGTTATTGGCATTGTCTCGACTTGGGATATATGTGCCTCTTGGTGGTGTGAATCGAGAGGCCTTTGTGGGTAACTTGGATCAGAACAGTTTCATTAGTACTTTGGATTCATTTTCTGGGGGTGGAATCGGACGGCTTGGGATATGCTCCCTTGGAATTGTTCCCTATATTAATGCTCAGATTGTGTTTCAACTCCTTTCCCAAGTCTACCCAAAATTGCAAGATCTTCAGAAAAAAGAAGGCGAAGCAGGGAGGAAAAAGGTTCAGAAGTATACCCAATATGCTTCAGTGGGGTTCGCTTTGGTACAGGTGAGGAAGTTACATTTAAATATGAAAAGCTAACCTTGTCGACTCTTAAGAATTTTCACTGGAAAATTTTCTACAATATGGACATATAGATACCAAATCTTAAACTTTCCCGTACAAGAAATGATATAGTTTTATTACAAAAAGTGAAATAACCACGATCGTTTTGTAATTTAGAGTTTAGATGTTTGGTGCTGATTTAGTGCATATTTGAGACCCTGCTGAATTGTCTTTATAGCTCTAATGTTTCTGATTTGGTAGCTCAATAGTTGTTGCTATCATCCTTCCTCACCATAATGATACATTTAACTTTAATATCAGAATTTACATGCTGTATAAATCATTATAATAAGTGAGAGTTGTCTGTAGATCCTTCTGGCTGTATTAATCATTATAACTACCTAATTACAGTAGTTAGAAATATTGAGTGCATGACTTCATTTTGCTTGGCCTTAACCCAAAAGCCTATGCGCTTCAGTTTATTTCTATGAATCTATGATGGTTTTATCAGAGGTTTCTTGATTTGTGGTTTTATTATATTAATCTAGTGACTCACTCTCCTGTGAAACTATAAGTTTCCAATTATTATGCTTCAACTTGAATATTGATCACAGAAATCTATTTTATTATTTGATGGTATTATCAAAAGCCATGAATGCTTTAGTATTGGCTTGATGTTTTTAACATTTGCCTGAAGAAAAAAACCTTTGTGGTGCATTGAGAGAAAATGCTCATTTTTTGACAGGCAATCGGCCAAGTGCTTTTTCTACGTCCCTATGTCAATGACTTCACCACTGAGTGGGTTCTTTCATCTGTTATCCTGTTAACACTTGGTTCAGCATTTACAACATACCTTGGTGAACGTATCTCTGACCTAAAACTTGGAAATGGTACATCTCTACTGATCTTCACCAACATCATCTCGTACTTGCCAGCATCTTTTGGAAGGACAGCTGCAGAGGCATATCAAGAGGGAAATTACACTGGCCTCGCTGTCATAGTTGCATCATTTGTGTCATTGGTGTTTGGTATTGTATATGTTCAGGTAAGGACGAAGATAAATAGTGTAAGAGGTATATATAACAGGAGAAGCTAGATGCTTATGTGGGCTTTTGACGAAATGTCTCAGGAAGCTGAGAGGAAAATTCCAATGAACTATGCATCAAGATACTCTGGTAGAAGTGGAGGACTTCAAAAGTCTGCTTATCTGCCCTTCAAGGTTAGTTGGTTTTGAAGGCATCGATTAAATTTTACAAGCTTTAATAAATATTGCAAATTCTATTTGATGTTGACAACATTGAAGGGTTTAACAATGATCAAGGCGTCTCACTAAAAATATGAAATGAAAAAAATATCAAGACAAGTTTTGTACACCCTCTGTTCTTTAATAAGTGAGCCAATATTTTTTTATAACTATTATATGATATCAACTAATTCTTTTATTCTCTTTGCTCTTTTTTATCTAATAATTTTTTTTTTTATGCAGGTGAACAGTGCTGGAGTAATGCCTATTATATTCTCAACATCATCACTGTCTCTTCCAGCTACACTTGCACGTTTCACTGGTTTAGATATCCTAAAGAAAGCTGCAGTTTCTTTGACCCCTGGAGGTAACAACGGTCTAGTGTTTTTGGTATAGTCTAATTTATTTTCCCCTAGGTGAATTAGAATATACGGACTGCCATGTCACCTTCCATGGCTTCCCTGAAGCATGAGTTTCTATTCTAGTAACTTCACTGCAAAAGTTTTTTTTTTTATTTTATTTATTTTTATTTTTTTATTTTTAATATACAGTAGGTTTTAAGGAATAATTAAGGGTTTTATTCAAAGAGCAAGAATTGCTTACATCAGAAATCTAGCAACAAGAAACCTTATAACAGGACTAACCCCTCACCTGTAGATTCCTAACTTCCCTCTTGTATCTTGTGACATTTCTGTCTATCCCTCTCCTCATCACACGGGCTTCTTAAAATCTGCGCACTCCCTGTCTGTTTTTATATTTAAGGAGGAGGAAGTATATAGACAACTAGGCAAGGCAGTTGGTCAATAACAAAAAGTTAGAGAACATCTATATCGTATTTAACAGTGGCAGGAGAGAATCGCTACCACTTATCATAACACTGTATGATACTTTAAAAAAAAAAAAAAAAAAAAAAAAATTCATCAGTCAGCTAGTATGATTTTCATCCAATCGTTATCATCAATATCTATTAATCCTTTCTCTCCCTCTCTTTAGCTCAACCCAATTGTACTCTTATCCAAACACATTGTTTTGTTTGTACGTAAGCTACTATTTTGCACTCCGTGTCATATTGTCTCTATACGTTCTAGGATTTTGTGTTATTTTGTGGTGTCTCTGTGTGTGTGTAAAGGAAGTGACTGGTCTAGCTGCTTTCTCATAGGATGCTTTCACATATTTTTTCTTAGCACAATTGATTTATGAACTTTAATTTGATGCTTAGATGGCCTGTACTTTTAATTAAGTAGAGCACATGTGAATCTCTTAAGCGATTAGTTACTCGCGCTGTTTGACATGGTTGGAGTAACAAATGAATTATTGATGTACGTAGTAAAAAGTTTGATGGCGAAGGGTAAGCACCTGACCCTTCACTAGGAGCTTATTACCAGCTTATTCTATGAATTTGAAATTAACTTTTTCTTTGTATGTGCCTTTTGGTTGGTTATGAAATTGGTGGTGCTATCATATTATATGCGTATTTTCTTTTTTTAACTTTTCAATTGACTAAAGATTTTTTTTTTTTTTTTTTTTTTTTTTTTGCAGGTTCTTTCTATCTCCCAACAAACATCCTATTAATAGCCTTTTTTAACTACTACTACACTTTTTTGCAACTGGACCCTGATGATGTGAGTGAGCAACTAAAGCGTCAAGGTGCATCAATTCCGCTAGTCCGGCCTGGAAAGAGTACGGCTGCATACATCAAAACGGTAAGATAAAATTAGTAAATTCTGCCTTTTCTATACCTGTTAAGATAGCAGCTTTATTTCATCTTCTTCTAGCTAATAGTAATACATTAGACAAATTTTCTTCTTTGATTAAATTCAATCTCCAACATATCGTCACATGCCTGTCAAAGGTTCGAAGTTAGCTGCTTCATTTTTTTTTTTTTAGTTAGCTGCTTCATTTTTTTTTTTAGTTAGCTGCTTCATTTTTTTTTTTTTTTCTACTTCAATAACTCCAATTATCTTTAGAAGTGCCCTTTAAACTTGTACAGAGTATGTCAGTTGCTTCTGCACTCTGATGCTAATTTGAGCCTGTTGATGAAATTCAGGTTCTGAGTCGGATATCAGTCCTTGGCTCTGCTTTCCTAGCAATTCTGGCTGCTGGTCCAGCAGTGGTTGAACAAGCTACTCATCTCACTGCATTCCGGGGGTTTGCAGGCACTTCTGTCCTCATCCTTGTCGGTTGTGCAACAGACACAGCAAGAAAAGTTCAAGCTGAGCTAATTTCTCAGAAATACAAGAACATCGAATTTTATGATCTCGACAAAAACAACTAAGAGTGAGCTTAAGTCAAGGCCTGAGGATTAAATTGGGAAGCTTTCCATGGCGTAAATATGTGTTGGTATTAATCCCCTCAAATTGTGCAGTAATCTGTCTTGTACTCTCAAACTTCTTTACATAAGTCGAAAATTTTTAAAATTAACACAATGGCTGAGTATCTATGAGACTATTGACACAAAATCTAAACTTACAACATTACTGAATGATTCTTAATGGCGGACGATCTATTAGATAACCTAATTGAAGTAGTTTTCAAGATCAACAACAGACTCTTTGCTTGATTGTTATTCTATGTAAGGAGATACTGGGGAGCTGAGTTGGGTGGGTATCTACTTGGGCTCAAGCCTCATCATCTGCAGGCCTGAAGAATGGGCCTTGTACTCCACTATTCCCCAGGCCTAACTTGAGGTAGGCGGTCCATGTAGGGGCCCAATCCAACCTACAAAACAGAAGACATTCAAGCCAAAAAAAAATGTGCTCTAGTTCTAGATGATAAAGATGAGGTCTCTATCCTTTGATCAGAACAATGACATCGTCTTAATTGACATAGAGGTTATAGCAATGCTCGTTTCGAGTAGGACAAAATTGATTGTTTATACAAAAGCCACACGACTTGCATTAGCTATCCAATTATTTTTACCATTAACGTTACATATCCATATTCCGAATAGAAAATTAGCATAGGATCACCAACGCTGTCAATGTTAATATAACAGAAAAGTGAAGCGTATCTTTAAGAACAATAGGTCCTGCTGAAAGAGCAGAGGATCAACTAACCGAAGCTGGAACGGTCACTTAAGTAGTCGTGAATCATAAACCCTCGTGGCCATGGAAACACAAGCCGACCCATCAAAGTTGAGCTTGTGTTACTTATTCATCGATGCTGAATCATACTCTTTAAGACTTTTTTTTTGTTTTTTTTGAAAGCATTAGATAGGGACTAGGAATAATATAAATGGCCGCAAAGTTGGATGGTTGTTAGTGTCTATGGTTAGCCACTTAGCCCCCTCTTGAACTTCGTCCCCTCAAGCTCCTTGGCTATTTAAACATCGTGGTGCTTATAGTATACGTATAGTGATGTTGATAATGACTTTGATTGCTACTTATTCGTCGGTCAAATGCCTCGAATTCTAAGAGCTGTACTAAAAGATACAGCGTATATAGAGATACTACGTTACTATGTGCTACAAAAGCCAACATCATGTATTAAGTAACAGCAATCCTGCATTCATCATATTAGTACCACCACTGGTTGGCTGGTACAATTTGTATCAAATCAAATCTCTAATTGTTAAAGATCGCGATGTATAACCTATTCATGACACACATATTGGCATACAATGCGCGTTGGCTAAAACTTTGGACCATGTAAATTTATTGAGGGTACGAGTCCTAGTCTTATTCGTTCTTCTCAATTGCAAATTCACAATGCTTGGAGTTGCATTTGTGTAGCTAAGTTACTTAGGCAGGCTTCCTTGGATAATATTCTAATACTTGGACGAACTTTAACTTAGAATCAAGCATGATTTACTAGTTTCATACATACATGAGTAATTTACGTTTTTTACATGTTCGTACAATAAAATCAAATCAAAATCATCTACATGGAATAATATCGAAAAAACGACCAATAATGAGAAAATTGGTAAGGTGCAAGTAGTGTGCAACTATATGTAATACGCTAGATTTGGCTGCTCATGATCAAATAATATTATTTGTGTAGTTGATGGACGAAATAAAGATATAAAGCTAACTAGGGTAAGGCCATTAATAATAAAATGTACAGATAATCAAAAATGGAAAGAAAATTGAAAGATTGTCCATTTGTGACAAAAGAAAAAACTTTATGCAAACATAAGGATTAGATTGGCTGAATTATTTGGTTTAGGGAACAGGTAAGCGTGGGAGCTTTAATAAGTTGAACACCTTCAAAAATTAAATAAATGGGCCATTAAAGTATGTTGGAGTTGGTCATGTTTATTGCTCATTTTTATTAAATTTTGGCATTATTATTGGACTATATCTTGTTGTGAATCTCTTTCATCCATTTATTTTCCTTTTGGTTAGGAGTCAATTAAGTGTAAAGGTTTTTTTTTTTTTTTTTTTTGAACGGAATTAAGAGTATAGTTTAATAATTTAGTGTCCGAGAATATTATTTTCTTTAAAATGATAAAAGAATTTTAATTGAATTATAATTTTTCTAATGTATATACAAGAATTTTAACTTAATTATAAGTGAATTGCTAACCAATATTGGCTATCAAAACATTGTGTGATTGGTAAAAATAAAATGATCACAAAATCACAGCACAACAACATTATCAATAATTATGGATATGAACACTTACAAACACTATAAATTAGGGCCTGTTTATATTTACTTATTTTTAGTTCAGTTCGTTCAGTTCAGTTCAGCTCCAATCAGTTCAGTTCAGTTCAGTTTAGTTCAGATCAACTCCAATCAGTTCAGTTCAGTTTAGTTCAGCTCTTAATTTCCCTCTCTCATAAGATATTCATTTCAGCTTAGTTCAGTTCAGTTCAGTTTAGTTCAGCTCCAATCAATTCAGTTCAGTTCAGTTCAGCTCAGTTCGGTAAATATGAACAGGCCCTTAGTAGGACAATTGCTTTATCTTTTATATTATCCCCTTTTAAGCAAAACAGTTTTTGAAACTTGGTTTCATTCTCTAGGGCCTACTCTTGTTTAATACTCCGTAATACCACTCCCAATCTCCCACCATATTACTATATTTCTTTCCAATTAAGAATTATCATGTATGTGTTTTAATTTAAAATTTTCAATGATTTAATATGAGTCATCTTATTTGTCATATCAAAATATAAATAATGAAGAATAGATATAGTATTAGAATAATAAATGAATGGTTTTAAAGTCACTTATTTGAAAGAGAAAGAGATAGAGATAGAGATAAAGTTTCAATTAAATAAAAGTCGATATTAAATAAAGAAAAAAAAATGCATCTCATCTAAATGAATTTCTTTTATTTTACTAGTTCTGAATTTATTTGAAATGATTAACCTTATAATATATGATCACATAATATAAGCAGATTATAAAATTATAATATAAGTAAAAAATAAAGTATACATTCTAAATTAAAAGTCGAAAAACTAGAAAACTGCTATAGCCTCTTACGTCGATACATTTTGTGAGGTTTAACATATCTAGTTAGTGACTAGAGCAAGTAGATCCAGAGAAAAATAAACAAGTGGAAAGGACGTAATAAGAGTGGTTGAGAAGATTTTGTTGTTATTCTAAAAAGGCTAATCTTACATGGGCAGGGAGCCAGAGAACATACATACACTGCATGTTGGGAGTATATATGAAAAGATGTGAAGATTAATTTTATTTTAATAATACTCTATTATTAACAAATTTCTACTAAACAACAAACATTAATTTAATGGCTTTTCTAAAGTTTGCTTGTAGTTTGAGTAGAAAACGCCATAACTTTGCCTTTTCAATATTCTTGACTCTACTTTTTGTGCATCGTGACAAAATCCAATTAGGATAATTATTATCTCTTTGCTTAACCCTTTTTACTTAACTCCTAATCAAACCACCCAATCTACCTCATTATATTAATTAATTATCATCATCCTATGTTTGTATCCTTTTTGGACACTTGTTAATCTCACCTTACTAAAATCATTCCATAATACTATTATAATCCCTTTTAATTTATGTAGAAAGTGAATAATTATGGTTATTAATATGCTTTCACCTTTTTCACTTGTAGATTATTCTTCAAAGACATTCCATTACCTACTCCGACTAGGTACTAATTAGAGTATAAATATCATGATTATGCCTTTGTATAAGCTTCTAAAGCTAATTGGCTTCTGCCTTGATATGAACTTCTACCTTTTAATTCATCCCTTCATTTTCTTTCGTTCTTCCTAATTTAATTGATTGTCAATGTACATCTTTAACTACTAATATCTTTAATTATTATGTATTTTACAAAATTATAGAAATTTACATTTTTATAACATTTATTGATGAAACGAATGAAAATAAATTTACTTTAAAATTGACTGCATTTTATATATCTTGCATATTGTGAATAATTTAGAATATTCCTTCAAATTATATGCCAAAATTCTAAATAAGAAGAACCGAATAAACCAAAGGAGCTAGTTTCTTACACTTGCTTATCGTACGTAATTTAAATTCACTTTAGCAATGAGTGACATATTTAATTAAATTATATACTGGTATTAGAATAAATATTTGTTATGAGCTTTATATGTAGTTTTTTTTATAAAATGCTGAAAACCAGCATGCGTTACGATTTTAATTAAATGAATCATGTTTAATTTAATGTAAATAGTGAGAATGGAAGAAAAAACGTGTGGGCATAGTCCGGCCATACGAATTGGTCGGTCGTCTAAGTTTGGCACACTTTGGCCAAACAACTTCATCGTAAGCCCGATCCCGTCACAAGTCCGAAGCAACTCAAGAGGCAACGCTACTGAATCTTGTGTCAAAAATCACAACAGAGGCTTGTTGGCACAACCTAGCATGAACGGTTCAAGCATTGGCCCTTATTTTAAAAAATCATCACGAGCCTTTTTCAACATAACTTTTTCTTATTAACTTGTTTCAAACACATTATTTCAATAGATTATAGGCTTATACAAATTCTTATATATAGTTGGTCACACCGTGTAACCAGTCATTATAGAGGTTACTTGATCAATATTACAACTCTTATAAGGGGTTTACTTGATCAGTGTTACAAGAGAGTTACTTTGTCAATGTTGTAGTTTTACTTAGTTATTATTACATGGATTATTTTGTTATTTTATAAGCGGTCACATAGTATAGTTGGCCACATACATAACGTGCGAATAGGCCAGGCTTATTGGTCCCACATGTAGGCTTGTCCAACACATCCCACCTCCAATTCATAGATGAGTAGAATTTCATTCAAACGGAGTAAAACAGAAGGTGAGTATAAACTCCAATAACGGGTTATATAGTACTCGACAAAAGACGAAGAAGTATTTTTAGTCTATTTCAACATCATAAATATTATTGTCATTTTCTATGATGACTTTTTGTATTAAATACAGGCAACTTGGCGTTAGAACTATTATGAAACTGTAGCAAAATACTTAACCGATTATTCAATAACATCCAGCCATTAATTATTGGCCTAACATTACTCTTATGGTCAATTAATCGAATATGATGATGATTTGCGTTAGCTA